CACAGAGACAAACAGCCTATAGCCTGGCACAGACACGAGTAAGGGCACTATTAGGCTTTTAATCATTCACTTAATCAACGAGCCAATGAAAGGGATCACCTTGCAGAGAAATGGTGCCCCACGGGGTTTATGAGCTGAACACCTGCCAAACAAACAAAACCAGCCCTCATGATTTTCCAGCACTCAACCCCCCTGGCATCAGACAGCCCAATTTCTTGTCAGCCATTTCCTCGATTATGTATCAATAGATGTCACACGATCAAGTCCTGGCTCCCAAGAGAGCGTTTGAAAAGTCAAAGATGTTTGTCTAATGCAAACCGATGTCATGTTGGGAATTAGTTTGACTAATAGGCCTTTAATTAGATCCTTGTGAGGTCTGGGACCAAAGCAGAGGCTTCCCAAAGTTTTCCTTTAGAAGATAAACTATCCCTTCCCCCAGATTGCCACCATAAATCTCCTTTCCAGTGTGCACACAGAACGGCAGGGCACGGCGTGGGTCTGTTTCTCCTGCCAACCTGAAGTCTTGTGCCCAGCCACCCAAGGGTGAAGTGCCTGGGGGCTTCTTGCAGGTCAAGCTGCCTAACCTGAGGAACCGGGGGAGGTGCCTGGCCTGTGCCATCTGCCCTGGATGGGGACCACAGCTTCGCACCAGGGCCAAGGAGGCATTTTCCCAAACAGCGACAGGAAATGTTCCCTTTGTCAGCCCTAATAACCCTTGCAAGGCCGTCTCCGGAGTGGAGATGTGATAGGATGTGATCTTCATCCAGGGCATTTCTCTCAAGGGAAGGAACCTAGAGACCGAGAGAAGCTTCCAGGATGAGGTCATCATGCCACCCAGGAGGGATTTCACACAGAATAATGTATGCAGCCCACCAGGCACTGGACAGCACATTATAATGTTGTGATTCATGCTGATTCATTCTTCCACCTTGAACTGACTCAAGACGTTCTTGAATACACACAGCCGAGACCAGCTCCCCTCCAAGCAGGCAGCAGGGCCTGGTCCCCGCAGGTCCCTGACTGTTTGATTACTACCAGTTTGTGGAAAGTTTGCAGAAACTGAAAAAAAGCAATTAGAAATGCTTATAGATAGGTGGCATTGCTGTGACAAGACTTATTATATTTCATAAAAGTATTAGTGCTCAGAAAAAGATGGAAAATTAAAAAATAGTGTTTCATCACAAATAGCTTGAGAAGTGGGGGCATGGAAGCTTCTGAAGTGGGTCTTATTATTGCTACTTTATACATAAGAAACTGAGGTTTGGGGTGACTAATTTGCCCAAGTCCAACTAGCCATGTGGTATAGCTGGTCCTCCAACCCAGGTCCTCCAGTGATGAGAAACTAAATCGCGGGTATCCTGTCTTAGTTCGGCAATCAACTTATGTAGTGAGAAATTTCCTCTTCAGGGCCTCTGTTACCCCATACATACAATAAGGGAGGAGACCCTCAGTTATCTTGAAGACCACTTCTTACTCTGACACTCTGGAATTGATCACAAACCCCTTCGACAGAAAGGAACCTCTGAAGTCCTGTGGCTAGCCTCTCATCCAAAGCAACCTGGACTCCTGCAGTCCTGGGATACCCTCCGTGCTTGGTTGGTCAGAATTAAATGGTTCTCTGATTTTCAGGCTAGCATCTTCCTTCCAAGGGTTTCCCCCATGAGCGTTGGGCAGAGTCCCTCTGTTGTCCTCAGGATCCTTACCCCTAAGGAATTAGTCCCCAGAGATGGGCCTTGTTTTCACTCTTACCAGATCCCCTCGAGCCAATGCAGGTACACCTTGTACCTTGATTGGTAAGAGGGAATTCCACCCATCCACCCAGGGCAAAGCTCACCTCTAGTGCATGAGAATCAGAAAACAACCTATAAGCCACTTGTGTTTTTCTTTCCCTCTGGGGAAAGCAGTGAAATTCCCTTCTATATTTAAACACTCAGCTATTCCATCCCCTGAGGGGCTAAAGACCCCAAAGCTTCCTATATACTTTTATGAGAGTCCCAAGGGGTGTGGGGAGCACCTAGTAACACTCCCAAGGCCTGTGCTGGCTGGACACTCATTAGAGCCACGCCATGCCTGAGACACAGGCAGCACAGGACAGTGTATATGTGATTTCAGGCCACAGATCCTAACTCCTGCCACGCCCTGTCATGTATACAGTCTACCCCAGTGAAAGTTGCCCCCAGAGACTCCATTCAACCACCCATATCTAAAGAGAGGAAATGAGCTAGAAAGGAAACTGGCCCATCCATGTGGCAAGCCAACCTCTTCGACCTCCCACCCCCAAAACCCTGACCCATTGAAACCTCTTCTAAGCTCCCTCTGCAACAATTGATTAGGGAGCAGAAAGCTGAGTCTCTGTCAGTAATGAATGAAATGATCGATTATAGGCTCAGGGAGTCCTGGAAATTTGGAAATACATAAAATTTCAGAGTCAGATAATCAGGGAATCATACAGCAAGCATTTATTGAATACCTATGAGATGTCAGGTCCTGGAGACTTGTAAGTACAGGGAGTCTAGAGGCAGAGAATGCCACAAACTACTGTCATGGACTCGGAGGGTCAGAATCACCGGAACTATTAAATAATAGAATCATAAGACATTAGGCAAATAAAATCTGGAGTCACAGGACCTTGGGAAGCCAGAAACTTAGGGTCCCACAGAAGCAGTAGGGGTTGTTGGAGGCCTCCAGATTTCGTGCTGTTTCAACTAAGCCAACCCAGCCCCATGGCAGGCAACCAAGTTCAGGGAAAAGGCAAAGTTTCCACCCCAATGTCAGGGGCAAGGGAGCAACTGGGACAAGTGCCAGGAAGAGGAAACTGACCTAAAGAATGAGAATGGGGATAAATGGCAGGAGCCCTGGTGAGGCATGAAGCTGCCTCTGAAATGAAGATCAAGGGCAGAAGGACTCCTGATAGGATAGAAAAGGCCACAGTTGGAGGCAGACCTGGACTGGCTTCATATTTCAAAGTTGAGACAGGTCAGCCTATTGCTGGGCAGCTCTGATGGAAAGAGTTTGCTTGGATGGAGCTGGAATCAACATTCCTATTCTGTCCTGGTCTACCTTCTGCAAAGGCTAATGGAAGAGGATTTATGATTCTTTGCCCCACATAGGCAAGGGCAATCCTGGCAGGGTCAAGGACATAAGCAGTGGTAGGAGGCTTAAGGAATGTTCACAGGAGGTGAATATCTCAAATATCAAGGGTGTAAGGGGCATTGAGATGATGATGATGGAATAAGACATTGGCATCAAATGACAGTGGTCCCAGAGGCTCGGGGCTGTGCTCTGTACATCTCCCGCATCTCTGCATGGCATGGCCCACAGCACAGGCAGAGACTAGCGGTGATTGCTGCTTGCCTGGTCCCCCACAGGGTGCTCACAGGGACCTCTTATTCTCCCAATGGCAGATCTATGGAATGCCCTTTCCCTGCCCCTGGGTGGCTCAGGGAGGCCCTGGAGGAGCCATGTGGTGGGCTCAAGGTGTAACATGCAAGCTTAAGTGTCTCTAAAACAACTAGTAAAAACCCTGACCAAATCCAAACCAGATGCCCCTGGGCGTGCAGGGTTGAGAGCTGTCAGCACCACTGCATTTTCACCTGCTCATGTGGGTTGCACCTGCAGGCGGCAGGAACACAGGACAGCTTCAGGCTGCCCACCAAGTTCGGCCCCACTGGGTTGCCAGCGTGGAGGCCCTGAAGGGCCAGAGGGGTAAGGCCACAGACCTCTCTTGGACCAGTCTGGTTATTCTTCCTTTTCTCTCAGTTCCCAGTACAGGCTGTCAGAATTTATTAATGAATGAAGTATATGCTCCCTAGCTACAAGAAGTTGAGCATGTTGCCTCTTTTCTCCAAGCTGGTTTTCCTATAAGCAACACGGACATATTTATGATTACCTCCAAGTTTACTGGATAGTACATTCATTCAGTTGGACAAATATTTACTGGGCATTTATTGTGGGTTGAGAATTGGACTAGGCACTGGGAATATAGTGGTGAACAAAACAGCCATTACTCTTGACTTCATAGGGTTCACAGTCCATAGAAGTAAACAGGCAACACAAACCTGCACACAAATGGATAAATAATTTACAAATTGAGTTAATGCTTTGAAAAGGGTATGCTAGGTGCAAAGAAGGCATACACAGAGCAGAGGCTGAAGGCAGGCTCCCTGAAGAAATAATATTTAAGCTGATACCTGAATGTTGCATAGGAGTAAGCCAGAAAAAAGGTATGGGGTAGAGTGCTCTGTGCACAAGAGCAGCATGTGCCAAGGCCCTGAGGCAGGGGAGTGTTCAATTCATTTCCTCCTTGTGAGCAGAGAACAGAGAGAGCAGGCAACACCGGAGATTTTAGTCTGCTGACAATGGAAGGCCCCCAAAGTGTTTCCCAAAGGGCCCTCCACTTGATTCTATACTTACAGCTTTAGAAGAAGACTTCAGTGGGGAGTTGAGGTCATGGGTGAAGTTTCCTCGCCTCGGGCCTACAAAAACCTCCAGGATCTGAGGCTCCAGAAAAGAAGGGATTGGCATGGCCAAGAAGTGCTGGGGGCTAGAAACTATGTAGCCCTTCTGGCCCCAGGCTGCCTCTAATAATCGTAATGTGCTCAGCACCATCCTTGACCCCATTTGGTCCTTCTAACCGTTGGGGAGGTAGGCAGATAGGACAGGGATCCTCAGTTCCCTGACCCAGTTGAGGAAACCAAGGACCAGAGAGGGAAGTGAGCTCCCCATGAGTCAAGCAGCAAGTTAGTGACTTGATTCCAAGTCCTTTCACCTGAAATTAGGTCAGATCATTCCCAAGAATGAGCACTTTATCGAGATCCCTGCCCTACAGAGATGGACAGCCTCAAACATGGAGCTAGAACGTGGGTGGAAAAGGGATATTTTAGAGGCTGAAGTCCCACCAGACAAGGACAGATATGAGGCCCAAAGTGGCAAACAGAAGGTCTGGGAGCGCTGTGGATGAAATGAGAGAGCCTATATGAGTCACTCCACCAACAACTCACCACTGCAAACGGCTATGAGCACAATGCTGATCACCTCTTCCTGGACCCAGGTCTTCCCTTTGGCCTAGAATGCACCTGATGAGACTAAAAAGCAGCAGCTCTGCCCTCAATCTGAGGAATTCCTGGCATGATTGCCAACTCCTGTGACCGTCAAGGCCAGGACGCGGAGCCCCTAGCCCCTCCCTACCACCTCTGGAGAGGTCCCTCCCAACAATTGCCACAGAAGCTTCCTCAGTGTCGTCTGGGCAGGTCGGGGTCCACAGGGGCAGTCACCCATGTTTCTCTAATGATATCTCTGCTGCAGCCCAGGCTCAGCTCTTTCAGCAGCCATATCACAGTGGGGGAGTCTCTCCCCATCTCCTTGGACCAGCAGCAGCCCTGGCTCCCCTAACAGCAACATTTGTCTGAAATGCCCCTCCCAGCCTCTTCCTTGGTGAGCATCTGTCTTGAAGACTCAGCTCAGCCATCTCCTAGTCATTCTCTGAAGCTCGGAGCAGGCGTCCAGTCCTCCTCCAGGAAGTTGCCTGATTGCAGAATGAGTGAGCAGCCTCTCCTCTGGGCTCCTGCAGCCGATTCCTTTCTCTTGCTTCTCTGTGAGGGCAGGGTCTGTGCCTTCCTTGTTTCTGTCTCCCAGAGCCTAGCACACAGGAGGTCAGTAAGTGTCTATATCTCTTCCTCTTCCTCTTCCTTTCCAGGAATCAAATACAGCAAGGGCCTTGGTCTATTAAAAAAAATTAATGTATAACTTGCATAGCAGTTGTTAAAAATCTCCCAGTATCTACTAAAACGAAGTCCTCCTGGCTGGCTGGCATTGGAGGCCCTTACCAGAGTCAGCGCTGCCCACTCCCCCGCCGCACCCAACCCCACGCACGCTGCAGTCCAGACCACAAGCCAGGCCCACGCATCTCCAGCCTCCCTCTCTGCTCTTCCTCCTCTCCCTCCCTCCTGGCCAGTGTTGTTAGGTAAGCATGTTGAACCTCATTTCAATCACCAGGTGCCTTGGGTTATGACAGAACCACTCTAAACCTCACCTATAAAAGAGCCAGCTATGGAACGGACCTTAGGAAAATGTCCATTTCCCTTTTCCTGCCTTCTCTCCCAGAATAAATTGTTTTCTCCTCCAAATCCTGGAGCTAATCCCTCTTGCCCAGGAAGCCTTCCTGACCTTGCCCCTCCCGTCTTTGTCTCCGGCTTGCTCCAGCACCCTAGAAGGCTCTGGGGCAGGACGGAGCCGCCTCTAAGCCTGGATAAAGGTGAAATCCAACAGTTGGGAGAGGTTATTTTTGGACCCGACACAAATGCTAAATGAAGAGTCCTCAGCCTTCCAAGCAATCTTTGCTTTGTGCTCCAAGGCCCAAAACTAACATTTTCATAATAATTTTCCAGTATCAAAGTGATAGTTTTGATTCAAGACAGCTGAAGCCTGCAAAACTGTGTGGCGGCCCCTCCCGCCCTCCAGCCAAACATGTGCCTCTGTCTCTATTTTAACACCTTTGATAATCATCGAAAAATGCGCAGCTCAAGCAGTTTTCTCAGCTTTCTGACCATAACGGAGGCCTCTGGAAGGAGGCCGGTCAAAGTCTGTTTTCCTTCTGCATGACTCTGAGCCTTGGGCTTAGCGTTCCCAGCCTGCCTGCTTTTCGACCTCCCTCTCTACATTCCATTAGTAATGTCTGATGAAGGAAATGGCCTTTCTAGTGCTATTAAAGAAGGGGGGAGCCCAAGAAATACAGTAACACAATCTCATGGAAAACTGATATAATCTTTTCAAAACTATAAAGATCGCTCACCCAGAGGAACATCTGCATGGAAAAAGAAAAAGGTTTTAAACAAACTGGAAAGGGGTCGAGTAACTTGTAAAGGCCAGAGTGTCAGGAGACTGCTGGCTCGTCCATGGCCTGCTGTCACTCCGCAAGGAGAAGGCCATCCTCGGAGGAGCCAGTTCCCTCACCGAGAGCTCCCACCATCTGGAATTCATTGCAGGAGGGAACACTGGCGTTTGTAAGAAGAAACTTGGCCCTACAATAATTGTTCCTTAATCAGTATGGTCTGAGCCCCAATGGAGAGGTGAAGGACAGCAGGGACAGGCCAGAGGTCCAGGACCAGAGTCCAGGCCCACCCCACTGCTCTCATCCTTGGACGCCCTGACCACCTCTTCACAGGAAGCAAGCTCAGATCAGATTCTAGGCTTTTCTCCTAGCCAGCCTTTTGCTGCCCTGAAGAGAAAGAGAAAGAAGTTATTTGCAGAGATTCATTTGGGGTCTTGTGCCTTCCAGCTTCAGAGGCTCAGAGAAGACTGGACCTAATGCAGCAAAGTTCCTCCTGGGGCCCTGATTCTCCAGGTCCCCATGTTCCCTGCCATGAACTCACAGCACTTTTGGTGGTGACAGCAAAGGTGGCATCTGCCACACCTGGGAAACCTGACAAGAGATGAACTCACATACGTGGGCCACATTGACTTAAGGTGGACCTAGCAAGGCCCACACTGGGTGACTCAGTCTTTTCGACAACCAGAGTTCTGCAATGGAAGAGGTTAGCATGGGCCCCAGTCACAGGGCCCTTAGAATAACAGGATCTGAAGATCTGAGTTTCTAACTTTCCAAAAGGTCTTAGATTCTTAGCAGCAGAGAACTCTGGAAACTTTACACTTTTCCTGCCTCCCTCCTTCGAACAGAGGGTTCTGAATGCTGAACTCATCTCGGCCCTGGTTGAACAGCTTTGCTGAAGAGGTATTAGAGTTGCTGCAGTCCCCCAAGCCTCCAGGAGCTGAGAGCCGTGTGACAGCAGAAGAGCCCTCCATCCCGGGCAAGGAGTGTTCCTGGGCAGGGGTCCCTGCCCCAAAGTGCTGGGCTGAACCCCAAGGGCAGTGTGCTTCTCCTTGGGGTACTCAATGCCTGTCTACCTCCTTACTTTTCTGCTCACTCTGAGCTCTCCCTTGCAGGACAAACTCCCCAGTGGTAGCTTCACTCACAGTGTCCGTGCTTCTGACCCCCAGATCTCTCCCTCCAGCCTGTCTCTCCCTCTCCTGAGTTGAGACCCCTGTATTCAACTGCCTACCAGATAACCCCTCCCCGAGCTCTCACAACCTCTGAGACCCACAATGTCCTAACCAGAACTCTCCCTCCCCTAAAGTGGCTCCTCCTCACAGTTCCCACATCAGACAAGGCACTGCCATCCATCAGGTGCCCCACACTGAGGCCAGGAAGTTGTCCCTGACATCTCTCTTGCCCTCTCCCCCCAGTTCCCGAGACCTAAAGAGCTGTCAGTCCTTCCTCTCACAGATTTCTCAAATTGATCTTTTCACCCCCACTATCAAGCCCTGGCTCAGGCCTCAGCTGGGTCACTGCAGCCTGTTTAGGACCAATGGCCTGAGCGCCCACTCAGCAGCCAGGGCCATCTTTCTAAAACTCATGTCTTAATTTGTTTCTTTCTGCTTAAATCTTTTCATTAATTTTGTGTAGGAAATACTCCCCAGTCTGTCACTGTACTGGTCCAAGTAGGTTAGGTTATGCTATAGTTAACAAATATGCCAGAAATTTCAGAAGCTTAAAGAATGAATATTTCTCACTTATACTGTGTGGCCATTGAGGGTGGACAGGGGCCTCTGGCCATCATAGTCACTCAGGGTCCCAGGCTGCAGGAGCAGCCATAGTCTTTACAGTTGACAGTCACTGTGTTAGAAGAAAGACATCCATGGAAGCCCAGAGGTGACACACACCACTTCCTTTCACAACTCCTTGACCATAAGTAGTCATATGAAACCATGCAACTACAAGGAGGCCAGGGAGGGCCACCCTCTCGTATGCTTAGAAGGGGAAAGCCAGAAATAGTACCTCAGTCATGTGCTTCCTTTGATGACTGAATGCCCATGCTCTCTCTTACCTCTGTGCCTTTGCAAAGGCTGTTCCCTCTGCCTGTCACCCTCATCCCCACACTTCACTTCAATAACTACTACCCATCCCAGGATCTCAGCTTAGACATTACTTGCCCTGAGAGGCTGACTCTGAACTCCGTACTCTGGTACAAGCCCCTCCTCTGAGTCTCAAGGCTTTATTCACACTCCATTATAATTAGCTACTGTCTACATTTTATAAAAATGGGGGCTTGAATACTTTGCTTATTGCTGTATCCCCAGTACCTGCTCACATGCCCATATGAAAAGATAATCAGAATTGTTGAATGAATGAATGAATGAATGAATGAATGAATAAGAGAAACAAACCAAGATCCCACTATCAGAAGTGAGAGGCAGCCTGACTGCTTCAGAAATAAAACCAGCAGTCCATGCTAAGTGAGTTTCAGAAGGTGGACATCCATGGGCTGGTGGAACAGAGGAGAAGAGGGTCTCAGATACAGCACCCAAGGAAACAAGGATATGCTCCATGGAGAATGACAACTTAAGCATTAGCCCCAGCAGTAAGAAGTCCATCACAGACTCTGTGGGACTCCCTGCCCCCAGCAGTCAAGGGTGAGTGCAGGGTACAGGCCAGTACCCAGCTGACTGAAGTAGAGTATGCCCGCAAATCCAGAGCCAAGGCTGCTACCCCACAACTTTCCTGAGCCCTCTCTCCCCTCCTCCAGACTCCTTCACCTGCTCCAGAACTGCTAAAATGCAGAGAAACTTTTTAGTACACGTCATTTCTTGAACCTAGTACTCTCCAAGAACAGAAACGTATGTCTCTCTGACTCCCTAGCAATTAGCAGTGTTTGGCATATAGTAATAGTTCAATTACTGCTTGCCGCGTCTTACTCTGATCCACTTCCTATTCTCCAAGCCCTCAGGAGAGGTCAGCCTGCCTGGTATCTGCTATCCCTCTGTTACCAAGATGTTGGCCTCTGTTGCCTCCTCCATTCCATCCCACACCACCGTGACATCCCTAGGAGCAGATAGGGATATGTGCACTGAGTGCCCAGACATCACCCCTCCAGCTCCAGAATCTCAGCCAAGTTACTGTCCCATATAAAGCCACTGGGCCAGCCTCCAGGGCATCCCTTCTGAGGCCTCCTTGGCCAGACAAGAAAACAGGGTCTGTTCAGTGTAAATGACGTCAGGGACTCCAAGCTGAGAGCCCCAGGGATAGTATATAGGCACTTGATGGGATCCACTTTGGACTGTGGTCAGAGCCCAGGGGCCTGGGATTTCCAGTGATTATCCTTATTCTCTCCCCTCCCTCTCACAGCTCCCCAATCTGATCAATCACCAGGACTTGCAAGGCCTACCTCCTAAATGTCTCTGGAATTCATCCATTTCGCTGAATTACCACAGCAGCCCCTCACCCGCATCCCTGCCCCCAGCCTACTCTCCACTATGCAGCTAGACTCATCTTTCTGAAGCCCAAAAGAGCTGAGGTCACACACCCTCTTAAAGCCTTCTTCTGGAGTCAATATTAAGGTCTCCAATATTATACGTGTTCTAGTCCTAGCTCCGTGGTCCCCACCCCGGTCTCATCTCTTGCCCCCTCTGCCCTCACACTCTACATTCCAGCCATATGTACATTTACAAATGTACAATATTTCGTCCACCTCCCAGCCTGGCACATGAGGTTCCTTCTACCTAGAATTCTTCTCTCCTAGAAAATAGCTATTCTCTTTGATACTTGTCTCACTCTTTACCTCC